AATTTATCTAAAATTGTAGATAACATAATAATGAATTTTAACTAACGTAACGTCATTCGATCATAATATATCATAATAGCATAATTTGTCAATTTTTATGGTTGCAGGCCATGACACAAGTAGGTGACATCACATTAATTTTAAACGTGTGATTTATTTTATAATTAATTTCATAATTTATTTTATACTTTGTTGTAAATTAAGCTGCAACTGCCTTGGCAACACTTTTATATTTTTTGTCAATTCGTAAAGTATAAATGTTTTCCGTTATCTTGGTAAAGGTTTTTATCTTTATTTAATACTGTGGCCCTATACTTTTTATTTATCTAGATTATTCCCTCCAGTTAGTATTTTGTATTTTTTATATGTAATTATATATATGCGTATATTGACATATAACGTAAACTGATTATTTAATAACACCAGATCTCAACGTTAGCATTTCGTAAAGTTACAGAAGATATAAAATATAAAAATTATGTGATTCCGGCAGACACAGGTATTGCACTCTTTGTATATGGAACACAACATTCACCAAAGTTGTGGGAAAATCCTGAAGAATTTATACCCGAGAGATTTGAAAATGAACATTTTGCAAGTGGAAATTATTCTTGGGCAGCCTTTGGTGGTGGATCCAGAATGTTTGTTGTTTTTTTTATTGTCATTTAGTCTATGAATAACAATATGCGTAACACGAATTTAAAGAAAAAATATTTTTAAAAAAATTAATATTGTAGGTGTTTAGGTAATAACTTTTCTCTTATTGAACAAAGAATTGCGTTATGCTTGATATGTAAGTATTTTAATTAATATTAAGCTAAAATTGTTACATCTACTTAATGTATTCTGAAATACTTTTTATAGTGCGTAAATATGAGATATTTTTGCCATCCAATAGTATACACAAAGATAAACTGCAGGGAAAAACTTATGGAACGCTACGACCAATTGAACTTATATTTAAAAGAAGAGCTGAATAATTAGCTCACACAGCTAATTTATCTTTTACTAAGCCACATACTACTTTATACTATTTTGTAAAACTTTTTTTATTATTACTTAATAAATATTGATCACTAATTCTGACAACCGCTTATTTCTAGAAAAACATTAACCTATTAATCTAAATTGTAGGTTATAAAAATGTTTAGCTTAGCTGAAAGTTTAAATTATCATAAAAATCGACATAGCCCCCACAATTAAATCATTTATAGTCTTTATTAGGCCGGACCAACTTAATTCGGTGGTTTACATTATATTCCTCTCTCAAAAGAGGGGGGGGGAGGATAAAATTTGAACTACATAGTAAATTTTTTTAAATCGGAAATTTTCGGCCTGACCTTGCTCGCCTTTTATGTTAGTTCATTTTCTCTTCGGAATTTTTCGGATCCCAATCTTAATTCCGCCCGACATTATGCTCTCCGGCCAAAATTATATATATATCCCAAAATTTTTTTTTACTAAGATAGAGGGGGGTAATGTAAACCACCGAATTAAATTGGTCTGGCCTTAGCAAAGCTCGTAACAAAATACAAGCCCGAAATTTTCTTATCACCATACTGTTGAATCTCAAATTATGCCATATAATATGTCTTGTCGTTCTATAAAATGGAACTAATACAACCAAATTAAGAGGTTGTCTAAATTCTTGTATAATTTTATATGTACCACGTGACTTAAATACCTGACTTTAGAATATCTCTATAAAGATGCAACATTATTGGATAAAGCATTGAATAAAAAACACAGGTTTAAGTTTTTTTTAAGGAAGCGAAGAGAAACCAATATCTACATAAATTGTTAAAGCCTTAAGACTGAATATGTGTTGCGTTCTAATAAGAAATATATTTAAACTCTTGAAAATATTTTGACTTTAATTAAAATATTAATATCAAATAATTAGTAACAGCACATTATTATGTTTTTGCTATTTATTTATTTGTTGAAACTGGGCAAATTTTAGCTTTTATAGCGAAAATTTTTCATCCCATTCGAATTAATTTTCAAATTCGTGTAACGCAGATCATTTCTCTTTTTAATTCTATGGTACAAAATTTGTACGCTGTTATTATTTTGCCTTTTAAAGCTATTGATAGAATAAGGTAGCTGCGCAACGCATTTGTGCTAAAACCAGGAACGGGATAAGTTCTGATAAATTGTTTACTTACAACTCCTCGAATAGCTTAGGTTTTTATTACATAATATTACATAACTATAGAAGTTTAGTAAATAACAGAAAGTAATTCAAGTCTTAATATTAATGAGAAACTTAAAACACCGGGACAAGTCGTGACGTAACTAAAATTATAATTTATTTTGACCTTTTGTTTTAAATTAAGGCATGTTGTAACATGCGTATAT